AGCGAGCGCCAGTACCACCAGCGAGCGCCAGTACCACCAGCGAGCTCAGTACCACCAGCGAGCGCCAGTACCACCAGCGAGCGCCAGTACCACCAGCGAGCTCCAGTACCATCAGCGAGCGCCAGTACCACCAGCGAGCTCAGTACCACTAGTGAACTCCAGTACCGCTAAAGAGCTCCATCTACCACCCTGTTCATGTGCCACCTGTGCCACCCATACTCCCCTTTAACCCATCTGCCTCCCCACTCTAATGCAGGCTTCAGAGGGAGCTTTGGAAGTCGAGCCACGCCATTACCTCAAGACAATCCCTTCACTCTCTGGCACCTTCGGCCAAGCAGCCAGTCCCTTACCTCATCTGCTGCTGCCTCCGGTCTCAACCTTACGATGGGACCCTCTATCACACCCCAGCACATCATGGGCTGCTTCCCAGCACCGTTCAAGCTCTGCCCTCCCTCTGGCATCACCTCCCTGGCTCTCGACCACACTACCCACTCCTACCATACCCCTGACACTGGGCCCGGCCCCTTTCCTTGCTGTTCTGCCTCTGTCCGTGCCCTGCTCCCTGATGGTGAACTCAGTTCACCCACTGAACTCTAAGGTCCTCAGGGACAGAGAGTGGGTATCTTTGTGTCTCCATCACTCAGCCCAGTGCCTGGTCCAGAGTGGGCATTTAAAGAGCATTGGAGGAATTGGCCTGAACTAGGAAGTCAATCTGTCACACCAGATTTCAAACTTGCCTCTAGTCCTATTTCACTGCCCTATTACACAGGTAGGTTTAGTTTAATCCACTTCCTTATGCTGGATGGAAGGAAGAGTTTAAACAATAAAGAGAGGAACCTTTCTCCAGGAGGCCAGCAAACGGAGGGCGGTGTTGGGCAGGATCCCTGGAAGAACGCCACATAACAACCCTGAGTCTCGTGGCACCCTTACCCTTCTCAGGGTCCTTCAGGCTGGAGCGGATGGTCTCCACCGCTTTCTCTATCTCTTCGCTGTTGCAGACATTGAGCTGGATGGTTCTCAGGCGGTCACTCTTTAAGCTGTCCAGCTCCTTGACCCCAGCATCACCTTTGTCCTGGGAGAGATAGGGCTGCGGTCACTGCTGTCCTTCACACCCTGGGCAGGTTCTGGAATTAGGACCCAGCCCAGGTAGGGACTGCCTCTAACCACCTGCAAAGCCTGAGGCTTACCCTGACACAAGACTGCGAAAGTACACAGTAACGTTATTCAAAATAGCCAAACACCAAAGCAAGTTTTATAAATATCCTGAATTAATGTTTATTTTTATTTTTGTGCAAGTTTTAAAATGCAGTTTGGGGCTGGAAAGATGGCTCAGCAGTTAAGAGTATTTGCTGCTCTTGCAGAGGACTTGGGGTCAGTTCCCAGCACCTCTATAGTGGTTCACAACCATCATCCAGAACTTCAGATCCAGGGGATCTGACACCCTCTTCTGGCCTCTGGGAGCACCAGGCACACATGTGATTTTCATATATGCAGGCAAAACATCCATACACGGGCTGGAGAGATGACTCAGCAGTTAAGAGCACTGGCTGTTCTTCCAGAGGTGCTGAGCTCAGTTCCCAGCAACAACATGGTGGCTCACAGCCGTCTACAGTGGGAGCTGATGCCCTCTTTTGGTATAAAGGCACAAATGTAGAGAGATCACTCATTCATAAAATAAATACATCTTTAAAAAAAAAATCCCCAGCTAGGACCCTGGGCAGTGGAAGAGAGGGTGCATGAACTGGCCTTGTCCTGTAGTCAGACTGATGACTATCTTGAATATCACCATAGAACCTTCATCCGGCGACAGATGGAGATAGAGACAGAGACCCACATGGGAGTACTGGACTGAGCTCTCAAGGTCCAGTTGAAGAGCAGAAAGAGGGAGAATATGACCAAGGAAGTCAGGACCACGATGGGTTGATCCACCCACTGAGACAATGTGCCTGAACTAACGGGAGCTCACCAAATCTAGCTGAACTGGGACTGAACGAGCATGGGATCAAACTGAACTCTCTGAATGTGGCTCACAATTGGAGCAGACTGAGAAGCCAATGATAATGACACTGGGATTTGTCTCTACTGCATGTACTGGCTTTTTGGGATCCTAGTCTATTTGGATGCATACCATCCTAAGCCTGGATGGAGGGGGAAGGGCCTTGGACTTCCCACAGGGCAGGGTACCCTGCCATCTCTTAGGACTGGAGGGGGAAAAGGGGAGGGTGAGTGGAGGAGTAGGAGGGAAGTGGGAGGAGGGAAGGAAGTGGAAATTTTGATTCCTAGTATTAATAAAGTAATAAAAAATAAAAAAATAAATCTCTAAAGATGTTATATAGTTTATCTAGGGTACAAATGAGCAAAGTACTGTAGCATATCCATATAATTAAGTAATATTCTGCAGAGACAAATGAATTATAACAAATGCTACAATATAGATGGCTTTCAAAAACACGCTAAGGCCAGGTGTGTTGGCGCTCCATTCTTGTCAAGCCCCAAGGCCCCCAAGCTGTGACTCCAGGCTGCCTGATGCTGCTGCCTCCCCACTTCCTAGTCTGTGAAGGCAACGCCCTAGCTGCCCAGGGAGGCCTTTCATCCCGGCACTTGGAAGGCAGAGACAAATGGATCTCTGTGAGCTCCTGGCCCGTCAGAGCTGCACAGTGAGACTCTGTCTAAAAACAAACAAACACTGTGCTAGGTGAAAGACACACAGTAAAAAGACCCAGTGACATTGAGTCCAATGTGAGATTCATCCAGAGAAGGCAGGTCTAGGGGGATGGAAATCAGTGGTGTCCAGGGCTTGAGGTGTGTGTGTTGGGGTAGAGGGCGAATAACTGAAAAGAACCAAAAGGTAAAATACTGAGCCAAGAAAATGTTCTCAAAGTGAACTGTGGAGGTGACATAACTCTCTGAACTGGGGGAGAGTCTCCTAGTTATATTTGCAGCCTCATGTTTTAATACTTCCCTTCGTGGCCCCTAAATGCTGCCTGAAGTCCCAAAGCAGCTAGCTCTACACTTGCAAGACTGTGCTTAGCTGTCCCTTCTGTCTGTCAGGCCCATCTCTTCCTTCTCTGCACTCCCACCCCTACCCTAGAACATTCTGGAAAGGGCTTGAGAATGCTTTCATTCTCGTTCTTCAACTGTGTTTGTGCATGGCGTCCTCTCACCACTGGACGGAGAGTTCCTTGGGTGTACTGGCTAGTTTTTTGTCAGTCTGGCCCAAGCAAAAGTTATCTGAGAGGAGGGAATGCCAACTGAGAAAACGTCTCCAAAAGATCAAGCTGCAGGCAAGCCCATAGATCATTTTCTTAATTAGTGATAGGTGTGGGAAGGCCCAGGCCATTGTGAGTGATACCACTCTTGGGCTGGGGTCCTGGGTGCTATAAAAAATCAGGCTGACCAAGCCATGAGGAGCAAGCCAGTAACCAACACTCCTCCACGGCCTCTGCATCAGCTCCTGCCTTCAGGAGCTTGCCCTGCTTGAGTTCCTGCTCTCATTGCCTTCTACAAAGATGTGTGATATGGAAGTGTGGGCAAAAGAAACACTTTACTCCCCAACTTGCTTTTGGTCATAGTATTTATCACAGAAATAGTAACCCTAACGAAGATATTGGATCTTGGACCAGTCTTATTCTACAACATCTAGCAAAGCATCGAGCTCATCACCATCATCTAGTTGGGCCTATCAAGTGAATAGATGGCAGAGCAATGGATGGATAGACATAAGGATTGGTGGATGGATGGATGCATGTATATACTCATACATGCATGCAAAAAGTTATGTAGAACAAACGAGACTGAAGTGGAAAAGATGTAGGCTATTTTAACAACACGTTAGAAAAGCACATGCATGTGAACATGCATGCACATGTGTGCACATGTGCGCAAGCACACACACACACACATACAGAATAACTGCTTGGACAGTAGTAAAGAACATGGCCCAGTCTTACCTTCATTAAGCAGCCAGCAAATACAAGGAAACCTTTTGAGTGCAGATGTTTGGCCAAAGAGAACCCAAATCCGGAGTCACAGCCTGTGATGAGGACAGCTTTGCCGCTCGCCTGTTTTAGAGGGTTAGACCCGTTTTAGGAAGCCAGGACCCCACAGCAGAGTAACCAGCCCTCCCCAGCCCTCTTCACAGCAATATTAACACATGCTGGGTGGCCAACCCTCATCCTCCTAGCTGGCTCTCACTGTCTGGAGAACTCTAAGCACCGAGGTATGCTGGGAGTGGAACTCGGAATCACCCGGTCGCTGCCAGCAGCAGTACTGCCTGGGAAAACAACTCCTGCTGGCGGGATCTCGGTGTCTTTATCTACAGTCACCACGATGCCCACTGTCCTCGTCCTCATCATCAAAGCCAGCCTTATCCAGGGCTCTCTGGGAGCAAGGCACTGGCCATGTGTTCCATTCATGTCACATCCCCACCCCCAACCATAACCTTCCTAATGCTGCAACCCTTTAATACAGTTCCTCATGCCATGGTGACCCCAACCATAAAATTAATTTTGTTACCACTTCACAACTGTAATTTTGCTACTGTTACAAATTGTAATGGAAATATCTATGTTTTCCAATGGTCTTAGGTGACCCCTGTGAAAGGGGTGGTATGACCCCAATGCCCCATGAGAGGTCATGACCCACCCACAGGTTGAGAACTGCTGCCATGGAGTAAGCATGATTATTACATGCCATCATTGGGAAAACAGAGTCACTTTCAAATGCCCAGTGCAGTTAATGACAGGACTGGAACACAGATGGGGCTGAGACACCCCAGAGCCTCACTCTGAACCCCCAGCTCTCTGCTTCCCATTAGGTCTCCGACAAGCTCCCTGGCTGGGAAGGGTGGAATGTGTGTCATTAATGCTCCCACATGCATGGGCAGAGGATCTTCCTACTGACGGAGGGCCTCAAAGAAGGACTAAGTGAAAACGTGGTTCAGAATGTCCTGAGCACTGTTCAGGCCCACGCAGAGGGTAACTTGAGGCCTAGGGTCCCCAGACGGCCCTCCTCGACCCAACGGCTCCCAGGGAGCTGGCTGTCACTCACCGCATTTGCCTCACTGGCATAAGTCCGACGGGTGGTTGCTGTGAAGGAGGCTGGGTAAAGCAAGAGCGTGTGTCTGCAAGAAAACAGCAGCCGTGAACGCCAGGTTCCAGTCCAGCTCCACCCCTGGGCAGAAGCCCCTTACAACAACCATCTAGGCTAAGGTAGCACTGATTTTCTCTCCCATCCCAGGCTATGGGGACAAGCGCTGCTACTGCTTAAAGAACCTTCCCTACTGGGAGACAGGCAGGTGGGCGACGCACCAGCCAGCTTGGCTACTAGGCAGAAGATGCCTTCCTGAGAAGAAAGCCAGCCCGATGGCTATTTTTCTTAGGAAGACATGCCAAAACTTGACTGACCCTTGGCCTACTCCAGTGATCCTCATTTTCTGCTTTCCACAAAGACATGAATGGTTGAGTGCTCCGGAGTAATCAAAGCGTGCATGTGCTTTCAGAAAACAACTCATTCAAAGCCTTCTGCAGGCTTAGAGGGTAAAGGTGATTGCCGCCAACTCTGACAGCCTGAGTTCATCACCAGAGCCCACATGAGGCTAGAAAAGAGGACTGATTGCTGCAAGCTGCCCTCTGACCTCCACACACACACACACACACACACACACACGCACGCACACACGCACACGCACATACACACACAGACACATGCACACACAATGTGGGATGCCCCTCTGTATGCTGTGACTATGTCTTATTACCTTTGGTTAATAAAGAAGCTGCTTTGGTCTACAGCATGGCAGAATATAGCTAGGCAGGAAATCCAAGCAGAGAGACAGGGAGAAAGAAGGCAGAGTTGGGCAGATGCCAGCAGCCACTAGAGAAGCAAGATGTGAGAAAACAAGCCACGAGCCTTGTGGTAAAATATAAAATAGTACGAATTGGTTAATTTAAGTTGTAAGAGCTAGTTAATAATACACCTAAGCTAATAGGTCAAACAGTTTGCAATTAATATTAAGCCTCTGAGTGGTTATTCAGGAACTGGAGGGCAGGAGAGAAACTTCCAGTTAGACAGACAGACACACACACACACACACACACTTTAATTTCAGTGTTTTAACACTCCATGAGCTCAGTGCTGCTTTCCTGATCATTGTTTTTAAACTTTTTATTTAGAGATAAATAAATGTTTAGAAACGATGCATAGAGCTGGGCTTGGTGGAGGCAGGCTTGTAATCACAGCTAACTGGGAAGATGAAACAGGGGGGTCACAAGTTCAAGGTCATCCTGGGCAACTTGGTGAGACCCTGCCTTATCATAAGAAGTATAAACAGGGCTGTGCATACAGTTCAGTGGTAGAGTGCTTTTCTATCACACATACAAAACCCTAGATTTAATCCCCAGTACTAGGAAAGAGAAGGATGGGGAGAGGGGAAGAGGGGGAAGGGATAGGGAGAGGGAAGAGAAAAGGAAAGAAAAGCAAGCAGAGAGATGTTGGGTACCTCTTGCCCAATGTCCATTACTGATAGCATTGCACAGCAACCATGCGGAACATTTCCATTATGCCTTGCATCTTTCTCTCTACCTTTCCAGAGCCACACCAAGCCCACGCCACCCTCTTCAACCTCTTCTCTATCACTAAGAAAACAACGTTAAGCCAGGTATGGGGTCTTAGTCTGTAATCCCAACACTCAGGGTACAGGAAGACTTCTGGGAGTTTCAGGCCGGCCTAGACCACACAGTACAATTCTCTCTTAAAAACACAAAACAATCACAACAAAGAGAACCTTATAAAATGGATTATATGGTGGACAGCCTTCTGGGTCTGGCTTGCTACCCTCAGTGCTGCTCCCTGGATCTCATCCAGATTCTGGAAACAAACTTCCCCTTTTGTGTCTAAGTCCCCCTCTGACTGGGGCAATTATATAACTATTTATTTTGTGAAGGTCATCTGGGCTGCTTCCAGGTTGGATTTATTATGAATAAAGCTGCTACGGAGATTCCTGGGCAGGATTTTGTATAAATATATTTCTCTTGGATAAACTCCCAGGAGCGTAATCATTGTGTCCTATGGTAGGTGTGTGTTTCGTTTTTAAGAGACTGGGGAGCTGCTAACAGCTCCAGAGTATTGGAAGCATACAGCATTTCCAGCAGAGATGTATGGGAGCCCAGTTTTTCCACATACTTCCCAGAATTTGATGATATCACTATTTTAAATTTTTTTATTTATTTGTTATTGTTGGTTTTTGAGACAGGGAGTCATGTAGGGCAGGCTAGTATGGGACTTGTAGACCAGACTGACTCCAACTGTCCAGCATCCTCCTGTCTCAGCATGCCAAGTGCTGGGATTACAGGCAATGTTTTTTTATGTTTGTTTGTTTGTTTTTGTTTTTGTTTTTAATTTTACCCATGTCCAAAACTATACACAATTTTCTTCCTGTGGCTTTAATTTGCATTTCTCTAATAGCCAATGATGTTAAGCATCTCTTCTATGTTTAACTGGTACCTGTCTCAGGTCAGACAGCTAAACAAATACCACAGAATGGTTATTGGAGGAGGCCGCTTGTTCGTCCTGGCCGCCCAGAACCAAAATAACCACACAGAAACTATTTTCATTAAAAAACACTGCTTGGCCCATTAACTCTAACTTCTTATTGACTAATTCTTACATATTAATTTAACCCATTTCTATTAATCTGTATATCACCACGAGGTCATGGTCTACTAGCAAAGTTTCAGCACGTCTGTCTCTGGCGGCCCTATGGCTTTTGTCTGACTCTGCCTCTTTCCTCCCAGCATTCAGCCTAGCTTTCCCTGCCTACCTAAGTTCCGCCTTGCTATAGGTTCAAAGCAGTTTCTTTATTCATTAATGGTAATCACAGCACACAGAGGAGACTCCCACATCAATGATAGACTTACGAACAAGACAGTGATTTATAAAGGGTGAAGACTTAACAGTTTTGAAAGCTGGGAAGTTCCAGCTCAAGGTATTGGCAGACCTGAAAACACAAACTTCCTAGATTCTTATTGTGACTTTACTTGGCAGGAGTGGATGGGGGTTGTCTTAGACCTCTGTCACTGATGATGGCTTTGCTTCTACGACCCAACACTTCCTAAGACCCGACCTCCTCACACCATCAGACATGGTCGCTTTTAACTGTGAACTTGACAGAATCTGGAAACAGCCTACGAGATATACACTCTGTCTGTGAGGGCTTCCGAAGAGGATTTAGTCCGGGTGGGAGAGCTAGCCTCAGCGTGGGCTGTGACTTCTAAAGCAGGGCTCGTGTGTGCAGAGGACTGAGGGGAAACCAGTGCCGCTGGCCTGCGCTTGCATCCTCCTGAGGGGTGCACTCCACGGCTACGATCTGATTTCAGCGTCTTCTGCCTTCCAATGCAGACTGAGAAACAGTGGAGATGAAGACATCTCCCAGGTCCCCAGTACCAGTCTGAGACCTCTGAGGCATCGTTACTGGGGTCTCGGCCTCTCCCATGTGGCACAGAGAGCCTCTAGTGTGTAAGCCAAGCTAACACACCCCTTTATAAGTCGTTTCCTATATTCCACATCACACAAGCAGCACAGGATGTCCTCCTATATTCCTCTAGAGAGCCACATCACACCAGCAGTACAGGACATCCTCCTGTATTCTTCTAGAGGACCACATCACACCAGCAGTATAAGA